AACTAACATTATACACATACTTAAATTTTATGTAGACGTTGGTTTAGTTTCCATATTATTTGCATTAGGAAGTGACTGAAGTACCTAATCTTGGATCATCAGAACAATGGCCTATGGGAAGACAGTCTCATTGCAGTGCTCTTGTCACCTTCAATTCTGGATCATACTTATTTGTGATAAGTGGATATCTTGTCAGGGATTTCTGGCTACTGGACACAAACACAAGGACATGGAAAGAATTAGTAAGAATTGTATTAAATAAATTTTGGTAAATGTAGTGTGAATGTACATGTACATGATGTACTCAATGAAACTACAGTAACAGTTTAAATCATGTTAGTTCGTCCACTGTATCGTGTGTTTTATATGTGTGACAGTTGTATCTTCAGCCAATGAGAATTGTCTATATGTGAATAGTAAACATAGTAAATTAGTAATGTAGTATACATGTACTGTACATCTATACTTCCAATCAAATTTCAATTTTTTTACAAATTTTTTAAAGTTGCTTAAAAATTGGGACTTTGGTTTGCAAATTTTGCCAAAATTAACAAGTAGAAATTTTACAATTTTTATAATTTTTTCTTGTACACATACATGGTCCTATGTCATTTAGAAAATTCTAACTAGTTCTGATTGAATTTAGATTTTTTATGATGTTTTAAATTTGCTTCAAAATTGAGATAAAGTCTCTGTACATGGACTTTGGCCAAATTATGCCATAATTGAAAAGTAGAAATTTTACTATTTTTATAATTTTTACATATGTTCTCATGTCGTAAAAAATTTAAGCTGGTTTTGATTAAATTTAGATTTTTTATGAATTTTTAATTTTGGCCAAATATTGCCAAAATTGAAAAGTAGAGATTTCTCCATTTTTTAGAATTTTGTTAATACATGTTTTTATGTTCTGTAGAAAATTTAAGTGGATTCTGATCAAATTTGATTTTTTTACAAATTTTTGAATTTGCGGCCAAAGTCCCTGGTACTGTGATTTTGACCAAATTTTTGTCAAAAATGAAAAGGAAAGAATTTACCATTTTAATAATTTTTTCTGCTTGCGCAGAAAGTTTGAACTAATTTTAATCAAAATATGAAATTTTATAATTTTTAAAAATTTCTCCAAAATTGGGCCAATCAATCCCTGAGGTACATGTACTATACATGTACATGTATATCAAATCATAATACAAGGCACATGCTAGAAGAGAATTTTTTAAATTCTAATGCACAAACATGTACATGTACATGTATGATATACTGTATACATGTACATGTACATATATAGCTGGTGGAGTTCTGTTTGGTGATTAGCTGATTAATGATAAAATGATTAATATCCATCATTTTGCTTTTATTATTTTGAAATACTCTAGCTTAATGAC